TATACCTGTGACCGGAGTTGTTGCTGGTGCTGCGGAGAGCAGAGGTACCTCCGAACACCCAGAGGGTGGAAAGTACGAAGGAAAAAGAGATCCAGACCTGCGGTGCCTGCCGTGATCACCGGGAATGTCCCTCTCCAATAAGACAGACGAGCTAGCGGCACTGACGCGCTGTCAGACATGGCTACCAGCTGGAGTACCGCGACGCCAGCCTTCAAGTATTTACAGAAACATGGCTACACACAGAAACTCCTCCGATGAAAAACGTTCCGCGGTGGAAAAAAACAAATATACAATTAAAATGTGTTTAAAAAAATTACGTGTTAATTTTTGTGTAATATTTCATTTTAATTAACGCGTTTAAGTCCCTAATATATATACACTAAAAGGGACCTCTCCCGGAATTGACAAGCTGATCCGTAAAGCTGGACAGGTGATTGGCTGTCAGCTGGAGTCATTTACGACAGTGAGAGACAGAAGGACAGTGGAAAAACTGCTCTCCATCATGGACAATCCTACACATCCACTCCACCAGACTATAGAGGGGCACAGGAGCTCCTTCTAAAACAGACTCCTACAGCTGCCACAGTGAGCGGTACAAGAGCATGTTCATGCCACACTCCATCCTGCTGTAACAAGTCACCGCTCTGTGACAGATACACACATTTATTATATGACTTGGATCGTTCACGCGCTCTGATTGGTTGATTTGCGGTCTGATATTTTCCCAATCTCGGACCGTTACCATGACAATTGGTCCGAACAGTGCGTATCAAATTTGATATCTTTCCTCGGTAAAGATATTTCTCTGTATCAGTCCTCGCGCCGGAGTCGCTCGCAGCTTAAGCACAGACGTCAAGTTTATCTGCTGTCGTCCTTGACTAAAGATGATCTTTGTAGTGTCCTGTTATCTCTTGATTTTCTATACTGTAAATATAGTGCACATATTCACAGAGTATGTACGAGTATATGTCCCTGAGCCTATGCTACATCCACGTATATTGATTTCTCACAATATTATATTATTATTCAAATTTTTCAGATTGTTTCTTCTAATGTAGAAGTTTCTAGCTTGTTGAAATTACTAGGCAACGCTACTGTCGATCAACGCAATTTCCCTGGCTCGATGTATCTAAGTAAAGGCAACACCCCACAATATATACACATTCACAGACATACAACGCACAATTCACGTACAAAAGACACAGATAAACACACACACAGGTCACACGAAATCGCTATTACACGCACGTCACTTGTCACACTCATATGATTAGTGAGTCTGCCTATCAGAGCCAGACTCGCACAAACGCGTACACATACAAGAACCACTCGCCACTGCCAACAATACGGGACCCACGCCCCCCACCGCCGCACGCCCTCCTCCCCCCCCCCCCCCCCCCCCCCCCCAGAAAAGAGAGAACTGGTCCGGAATATTAATGAGAGAGGGACTACTAAAAAAAGTAAACGCAGAGCAACCACTCCAGCGTAAGTTAACGGGTCCGCGACCCGAGGAAACACGATCGAGGATGAGGTCAATGCATGCTCGAATAATACAGGAGAACATCGAACAGACACAGAGCTCAGAGCTAGAATCACGCCATAGCAGGCGTAAGAAAGCCAGCCGAAGCGAAGGAGCAAGAAGGAGAGTCCTAAGACAAGGAAAGCCGACATAGAGATTCGCGCGCCAACAGAAGGGTGTAAACGTGACCCGCGGGGGCTCATCACCATTAGATGACGGTACAGATGAAGGGACGCACCCACCTCTGATATACCAGGGGTCAGGCAATGTGATGATGCTTTGACCTGCTTCTTTCCTCAGCTATTTTAAAACTGTTAATCATTGCTTTGACAAACAACCATAATTAACCTAACCTCACAAGCAGGACTGCCTGATGTCCTATTGCAGTCAGATACGTCTGGTCTCTCTCTGGTCTCTGTAAAAAAAAAAAAGAGAAAATAATAAACAAGGCTATATGTGGTATCAACATCTCTCAGTCATCTCCAGTACACTATTGCCAAAAAACAACAAAAAGTCCTCTGACCATCAATAAGGACTGCCAATGGCTGAATTTTGTCTTGGATACAGTCTTGACTAGACCCTTGTGCAGCACTGGTTGTAACAGTAAGGGGAATCTGCAAAATAGTGAAATTAGAAAACTAGAATATCATTGTTATCAAGTCAAAAATATAGATAATTATTGTAAACCTGGGCATCAATTTATAGGGGGAAAAAAAACACTAAATGACCCACCTCTTCACGCCAGGGCCATGATGTCCCACCATAGTCGTAATTTATTTCAGTTCCTGCTTTGTCTCTGTCAACTTCAGCTGAATCAACAAGTCCCCCCCTATACTCCACAACAAAGTCTCCTTGACTGAAAACAGTAGGGTAGAGAAAATACCACGACCTGAAGACCTCCACAGGCTTATTAAAGACACAAGGGCACTCCACAACAAACCATTGATACAACTTATTAAAGACACAAGGGCAGCAAACCAGTACAACTGAACCAGTGATTATATTAGTGTCAGTGACTTACCTTTGACTGGATTAATATGTTTTACTTCTAACATAGCAGTCTTGTCTCTTCCTTCAAGGATATGCTTTGTGGCATCCTGAAGGGGTAGTAGTTCTCTGTGGCATGACTTTAAGAGAAATTAAGAACAAACATTTTAAAAATAACATTACTTTTCATCTCATGGTTTTTCAGAAACCATAAATCAAAACTATTTCAAGTAATCATGACATTAACTTTTTTAATGTGAAGTTCAGTTCATCAACATCAACAGTGAAACAGTGCATTTCACCTACATGGCTATGTACTCATGTTTCCCTCTGATGCCTTTTGGGAGAAACCATGGGTCCACACCCATGGTTTCAAGGACCGTTGTTAGGGTTTTTGGAGTTCTAAATCATCGCTCCATGAATGTTCTGATTCCAATAGAAGACTATAATGGACTGCACCTTACCCATAAACTATAATATATTCTGCTCATATTCTAAAAATATTAAACATCTGTAAATGTGACACTGGAATAACAGCTAACTATAGTTATATAAAGTAGTCCATTGCTAGGGGACATCCCAATGTCTATAGAGCTTGAAAGGAAAGCGATATATCTAATATTTTACTTTTATTAAGAATACAGTTATATTATTGTTATGAAACAAACAGATATTCAATGTGTGTACAGATTAAACATGTACATTCTGGTCCAAGACTTGTTCTACATCCATTCAGCTCTCAAATACATACGAACTTACTGCAATAGTATTTTAATTGTGTCAAGTCACTCACAACGCAGAAGGGCTGCGTATTAAAAGGAAAATTCTATATAGACAATGCTTGAATTTTGCTTGAACATAAAATCATAATACATACAGCAGATGTCTTATTTCTAATAATCTTATCATTTAGTATTATCATTTTATCAAGTAGCCTGCTCCTATAAAATATTCTACTAATTATCACAGACTGATTTTATTACTCACCTCTCCATTAGGAAACTACCTAATATATTTGTTCCAAGTATGGCCTCAGCACGCAAAATGCATCTATATTGTAACTTTGACTATATTATCAAGCAGCTGCAGCACACATGTGTGTTAGCCACTTAGCTCCGCAAATAGCTAGCTAATGTTCATCTTCCTGTAGTGGGTATGTCACTACGGTCCCGTTTGCTCTGTCGACAGTATATTTACTGCAGATTTGCCGAACCTAAACGTGACAGAATTAATAAATCGTGCAAATGGCTACGTAGCCCGCAGCTTAACTAGGCTGCCGACCCCCGCAGCTACGTTATGCTCTTCTACCAGCGGCTCCTTTGTGCTAAACAACATCTGTTGACCAGTGAAAACTCTCTCATACCTGTGTGCGGGTGCGTCCCGTGTCCCTCCTTGTGGTCCCGTCTCCTTTGAGGGTGGATGGGTGAAGAAAAGTGTTGAAGCAGCCTTGACTGGCGAAAGACGCTCTCCTCCACTTCCCCACACGGAGCATGCGCAGTAATGACTTTGTGTGTCGCTCCCGCCAATGTGTATAATTTCCCGCGTTTGTGTGTATATTCCATCATTTCCCGCGCGGGAGAAAACGACCACTAGGGGCAGTGGCGGACACACAGATTTACTACTTTTCTCAGGTTTCTGGTTTAAAAAGACTTTTGAGAAAACCACTTTTTAGGCATTAAAAAATGCATAGAAAACGATTTAGAATGTAATTTTTATGAGGACAGCAAAATGTCCTCCTAAACCGGAGGGTCCTCCTTACTCGGAGAAAAGTCTTGAAAATCGAAAACAAACACACACACACACACACACACACACACACACACACACACACACACACACACACACACACACACACACACACACAACCATGTTACAACCAGTGTTGGGTTAACACTAACAAAATTACTTTTTTGGGGAAAAGTAAAGTAAACACGTTATCTATGAACAATATAGTAACGTAACGCTGTCTCTTTTTTGTTCCGCCTTAACGTTACTTTTCATTCACCACGGGCAGCTGTGACCATCTGCTGGTGCTGCGCATTAGTCACAACTTGCACGCTAACGTTTGTACTTTAGACTTGCCTCTTATCTTGCCAAATGTTAAGCTTTTATACTTTTTTATTATTGTTATGCTCAAGACAGAGATTTTATACTTTGATGCTAGAGTTAGAGATTTTGTTTTATTTTTATGATTATAGTTTCCCCAACATTGGTCACAACACTCTCCTCCTTCATCTGTCATCATCTTGACTTCAGCTGCCGCACTGTTAAATGTGTGCTGTGTAGGAATAAAGACGCATTTTTATCTATTTCTTACTAATCGCATAAATATATTTTACCTGAGAACAGTGTAAAGTATTGTATTTCCCCTGGATCTTTAGTATACATTTAGTAATGACTGAATACAGACGCTTAAACACCACAATATTGTTTGTTTTGAGCATCCAAGTCCAAGAAACCAGTGTGTTTGCCAGAAGTGCAGCACTAGTGATGGCTAATCTAAAGTGTTGTTACTTTTGTAGCGTACTAACTTGATGATGTGTTTGATCTGAGGTAGGATGGTGCTCTCCAGCGTGACGCCGTGGCTCTTGAGCAGGTAGAGTCTGAAGTCGTGGAAGAACATCTCGTTGCCGTCCTCGTAGCGGCCGTAGTTCTGGGACATCTCCTTCTGGATGCAGTGGTTGGTGAGGTGGCTGGTCATGTCCCCCAGGTCCTCGCTGTTGTAGGGCTCCGAGGAGGTCCGCAGCACGCCCTCTCTGTACAGGTAGATGTTGTACTGATGGTCCACCAGCACCCAGCTCCTGAACCATCAAGAGAACAAGGAGAGGAGTTAACACACGCTTCTGTCTGCACAACACAGCACAGGCACAGAGGACAATATTTATAACTTATGGTTTGTTTTTGACTTTTTCTTAAATACTTTTTTGTTGTTGTTCCTTGCTGACGGAGGAGGGTTAAAGGACAGAGATGATCCGTTATATTTATTCACATTTCTGGACAGTGGTCATCGCGCTCCCTATGAACCAATGGCTCAAAGTGTTTGCGATTATTTCATTTCCTGTGTCTGAACTTTGTAAGTTCTCCGAGATGACTGCTGTTGCAATTTAGGGCTGTACACAAATAAATGAACTTGATTGGATTTGGTACGGTGATTTGTGTGTGCCTGATTTGTGATTAAAAAGGCTAAAATCACAGTAAATAAGTGAGTAGACACATTGCTGCTTTCTCACCTTGTTAAAGCACATTAGATACACTTTCATTTAACATAACGTCATTTGTACAGTGGTATTCAAATGTTTTGGACAAAAAAAAAGTAAATGCGCATCGGTCTGTCCCCATGTCGAGCCAGTTTTCCTGATCCCCCCTGGTCCTTTTGAATAGTTTTATCCGTGTGATAAATACATGTGATAAAGGGTTCTCGTGGTGGGGCTTATGGCTGCCAAAAAGATGGTTGCTGATAGGTGGAAGCCCCCTCGCTCACTCTCTCGTCAACAATGGGTTAAGACGTTTATTGACTATAGAAGGGTTGATACTGATTCCCTGGCTTATGGCATCCCAGGTTCAGCACACACTTATTGACCTCATTTAATCAATACATGTATTTACATATTTCTGAGTGTTGGTCTGAGATCTTTCCTCGAAGGTGAGACTTGCCTGATGTCGAACTTGCGGTTCCCTGGCTGCAGCAGCAGAGGTTTCTCCAGGTATTTCTGAATGACGTGAACCTGCCCCTGATTATCTATGTACTCCAACAGCTCCGCGGCATCATGGGAAATCAGGATTCCAGCTCCTATGGGCAAACGCAACAAAGGAACCAGAGTAAATACATCATCAAACAGATGTGTGAATGATGAATATAGCCCTGTTTCCACCACCCTGCCCTACCCACCTCTACGCCACTTCTACTATGATTGGGAGAGTGTGTAACCAGTACCAGGTCCATCTTTAGTCCCTGTTGGTCCTGGTTCTATCCACTCTTGACAGTGGTTGGCCAGAGTGCTGCAGGAAACCATGGCTACAAAATAATTTCCTTGGATACTAGTTTGTTTTAGGTAAGTTGCAGGGATACAGTACCAGACACTAAAACACAATGGTTAGAGTAGAGTCAAGTGGGGGCTGGCGGATCATTTCACTGTCCCATGAAAGACTAAACTAAGGTTTCATGAGTTGGATATTTCAATAATGACTGCAAAATTAGATTAAATGCGTGCGTTTACAAAGTATTTTTAACCATATTACTCAATGTGAAGCTGTTCTACAGGGGCAAAAAAAATCCCATGCACTGAAAACCAGTTATATTCAATACACTTGTAAAAAGAGCTCTGAGTCACTATTCACTAATTATTAATTCACTGACTTTTCAAGATCCAAACCCAATCTCACAAACAGGAAACAGCTCTATCTTTCTTTGTTCTTGCTTCTTTATTATGCTCTAGTTGGAGATTTCATGTTATGAGTTAGTGTTCACTTCTCTTGTGCTGTGTGCTCCTCATTCCTTCTGTTCTATAACTGGTGATGCAACACTGACATTTCCCCACAGTGTGACCAATAAAGAATCTCTTCATCTTCTTCTTCATCTTCCTTGCATTTGTACCTTTAGCGCCAGCAGAGGACTTGGCGATCCACACGGCGCCGTCCCCGCTCTCCTTCCTGTTGTGGTACGAGGCCAGGAAGACCTCGCGCTCGTCGGTCTTGGGGTTGCTCCGGAGGTGGCTGATGCCGTTGGAGGCGGGGGCCACTGGAGTGTTGAGGTTGGTGGGGTAAATAACAAACGACTCCGGGAACCAGCTGCAGGAGTCTCGCAGCTCTGGACTGGTCTTTATCAACCTGACGATGGAGAGAGCGAAGCCTGATCAATACTTATGTGTGGAGACATTAGAGGTGCAGATTTATGCAGCTTTAGAACGACACACACTTGACCAGACAGGCCTTTCTGCAGAGTTTGTCCGCGCCTCGGTAGTAGTTCACCAGCTGCACCAGACCAGGCTCATGACCTGGAGGCATCCAAACAGGATTATTACATAGATGTTCACATTAATTTAAATTGTTTTTATATATATATATATATATATATATATATACAGTATATATATGTTGTTCTTTATACTTAAATGTTCCCATGTTATTTAAAAATCCAACCTTAAGTCAAAAACACATATTGTCAGTTAAGCTGCTGGGAGAAGTTTGGTAACTTGAGCTCATCCAAACTTTACCCACTGTGGGACAAATAAAGGATCTCTCAATCTCAATTTAATCTTGTATCGCGCTAAATCACAACACCAGTTATCTCGGAGGACTTTACAAAACTGCTGAATTCTCCAACACAGATCAGAGAATCAAACAGTTCAAACACAAATAAATAGAGAGCAGAGAACAGAGTTCGGAGTTAATAAATGTCCATAAATGTGGTTGAATGTTGAGTCATCGGGCCTCTTTCACCAGGACCTGTAGACTGGTCTCCCCAAGACCAGGCTCCTGTCAGAGCCTCTTCAGTTTTTGTGCTATGACCTGTCTGTCCATGAGAGGGAATCCCTCGCTCTTTAAGGTTCTTTCTTTTTTTGTGGTTTCTTGGCCATGCAGAAGGACATTTATGGACAGTGGTCATCCTGCTCCCTATGGACCAATGGTTCCAATGTGATCCTTTGCAATTATTGCGTGTCCCGTGTTTTAATGTTTGATTCAAATATTTAATATTTATTATGCTATATTTACATGGCAAACAAATCATTATCCTGCTGTCTCCCAAAAGCAGGTTCATTTCCAACGTGGCCCTCAGGAAAATTCTCATGAAAAATAAATTGAAGAACTTGTCTAATCTATAAACATTTTACACTTTTATAACCTCAAACGTCACATCACTTCAGTACTTCAGCTCTAGAATATACAAGAGAAACGTGTTGGAGATACAGCTGGGTGCCTGTGAGGAACTTTTCATCTCCCACATCAGTTCCATCACTAATGTTTAGATGCATGTATGTTCCACGTCCAAAGGTCAGCTTTTAACAGCTGTAAGTAGCAGCAGAAGCTAGTCCTGTTTATTCTATACACTACAATACAGCAGTGATATAAAATATGATAAGATAAACTTTATTTATCTCACAATGGATACATCTGCACGTCACTTTTGACATCACTCTGGTTGTCCAAAATGATGGGATGTTTGCAAAAATGTTAAAAAAGGTCAAAACATGGTCTCTTTTGTGCACGATATTATATGTACACTACACAAATTAAAAGTGACTAGACTAGAGCAGTACGAGTCATAAGCAAGCAGGACATAGTCAACATCAGACACAATTATACACCCAAACAATTACAATTATTTACCCAATCTTCCAAATGGCAGCCGGTTTCTCTCCCCGAGCATCAAGTTGAACCTGGGATTGTCCTTTTTCAGCCTCTTCCAGTGTCCAGTGGCGACCAAGAGCTTAGAAACTTCTGCATAAACTGTGCTATTGTCGTCTCTGCTCACAAACGTGTACATGGGGCCACTCATGGTTCCAAGAAGTACATCAAAACAATAAAACGTGTGTGTAATGTGTCTATTTGAGCAGATAGGCAGTGGTCATTGCAGCACGGGGCTATCTCGTCTCATCTCGACATGATGAAGATTCAGTCATTTCCATAGCATACAATCACGTTATTAATCTGCAGCACGCAAATCTAAAACTATCTAAAGTATTCATGTACAGCAAATGAATGAAAAGTTAGCAGTTAACACAGTCGCTGCTAAAAATAACATTTAAATCCCCCAGAAACAGGGTGTGACTACTGCTACAACTGCTGTCTGTGAGGATGTATCTTGTATTTGTGTGTAAAAATCTAATGGTTACAGCTACAGAATCGATTTAAGAGATAATCAAAGTTGCTTAAGGTGTGTATAAGGTCTTAATAAGAGGATAAAAGTTAGCTATTTGGTCACAATTAGGCGCAATTCCACCCGGCAGCATGCATTGTCCACAACCGCTGTCATCCTCTGTAAATACTGGTGTCCGCGATGCTGGGTCGTGTAGTTTTATTCAAAGACTATTATATACATGTAATGAAAAAAACAAAACTTTAAACCTACACATTGGAAAAATACGCAATAAAACTACGGTACGTGTGAATGCGGGAAGGTTTGAGAGCACGTCCAAGCAGAGAACGAAAATAAACGAAGGATGAAATTGTGAGATAAACTACTTTTCCCAGAATGCAGTGTAAGATGGCGCTCGCTTCCGGGTTTAGTTTGCGATGCTTCAAAATTGCCACTAGATGGGGGAAAAGTCGCACCAGACACAAGCATGACTTGAAAAAAACTCGTAGAAATAACATGTTTGTCCTAAATAAGATTTAAAATTAAATATTAGTAAAACTGAGGAAAAGTTCAGCTCTCAAATAACAGGAAATCATCACTTTTTCCATTTTCTTTAAAAAATAATAATTTTTTGTTGTGCTCAAAGCAGTGAAACAGTAAGTGAACTGTAAATATATTAAAAGAACATATTTCTATTGTCTGTATATACAATTTTAAGCTTGTAAAAAAAATTAAGTTGACAGAATCCCGGAAGTTGTATCAGGAAGTAGGTGCGAGTAGCCGTGGCGGGAAGAAAACCAAAACAAACGGGGTTCATGTTTCTCAGCGGGATTTGACTCTAACTCAACAATTCTACTTGTATTTCACTGTAAGTATCGTGTTACTCAGTTTAAACTGTGTTCAATTTGTAATTCTGTCTTTGTAAAGTCACGTGCTCTTCATAAACACGTGTTTATCAATAGTGCTGAGAGAAAGATTTAAAGCACCATGATGGCATTACGTTATGACTGAAATAATTATCTATTCCTTTATGTTTGTTTGTCTATTGAGTAAATTATATAAAATGATGTGATTCATAATTGTAAATGTATGAATGGCATTATTTTAGTTGAGGTGTAGTGAGATCTACATGAAGAACAAGCATTCATGATCCTCATTGTATTTATCTGACTACACTGTTCTGTATTTAGCAATACTAAATACAGATATACAATCACATAATAATGTATACATGGATATAGGTATCTGGACATTTTCATTGATACAATTATTTTTATGATATTATTTGTGTTATTATTTTTACCAAGCAGTTGCTTTACAGGCTTGAATACAGTCTCTTTAAGTGCTTAACTTAGCTGTGATCACTTAGTTCATAATAATTAGTTATTATCGGTTAATTGTCTTTGTGTGTGTGTGTGTGTGTGTGTGTAAATTCTACTTCTTTATCTGGTTTATTATATTGTATGAACAATATACTTTTTATTTTAAATGAATACTTACTATTTTGTTACTTGTACTGTTAGAGAGATGTACTGTGGTAAAACTCCTTCAAACCTGTTCTGAAGTGTGTGTTCTTTTATTTGCCAACAGCGTGTGGCCTCAGCGCTCACTCGGGCTGTGGGATTGCGTTCAGGTCATAACTCTTGCTCCTGTTTTAATTTTTAATACGTTTTTTCTTCTCCTTCAGCGGGAGCAGCCCAGGCATGAGCGGGCCACACCTGGACGAGTGGCAGCGAAGGTCCTTTGACATTTCATCTGGCACCTGCACGCCACAACAGAAGGCCGACGCTTACCGAGCCCACATCCTGGACATTCAGTATGCATGGGCAAGCCAGCAGATAACTCAAGCCGCGCGGAACCGGCTGCTGCGGACCTACAGCGAACGCTATGCTGCCGTGCTGGACTCTGATGACCCCAGAAACGGCCTAAACAACTTTGCAGAGAGCGCATTGCATTTGGCCCGGAGTCAAAAAAACCAAAGCGAAAAGTGGGAGTCAGGGTTGAGCCTCGAAGGGCTGATGCAGATGCCGTGTGTGCAGAAAATGATTCATGCGAAAAGTCAAGAGGATGAGGCTATAGTGAAGCCAGAGGAGGCAAATGTAAAAGTAGGGTATAATGCAAGTGTTTCTGTTCTAAGAGCTGACAACAGAGGTTTTAAATCAACAACACTGCAACATGCCAATAAAAAACAATCTACAAATCATTCTACTTTTGAGCAAGAAAGAAGCTATGCAGATACTTCATATCCAAAACCAGCATTTAGCAACCAAAGTGCTGCATTTTCAGGGCCTTCTACCTCACATTCGCCTGCTTTTTCCAACCAAAATAATCAACAAGTGTTCCCAAATCAAGCTAAAAGAAAGAACTTCTGCTCTTCTGAAATGGGAGAGACCAGTAGAGGGCAGTATGGAGGACAAGCGCCAAAACCAGGAAGCAATTTCAAAACGGCACGCGAACAGCTAATTGTCGAGCAGCAGAGGAAGCACTCAAATCCACAGAGAGGTCAGACGCCTGGTTTGGCAGCGGCTATGAAGAAATCGCTAGGTGCCAACAGGCCGCGTGGAACTTTATCTAAGTTTGTTTCACCTTTGCCGAGACAAGAGGAGGAACAGAACGCTCCATCAGGCGGAAACGGAAACCAGGAGGGCGCTATTACTGACGAACGGTTGAAAAACTTTGAACCGAAAATCATCGAGTTGATTATGAGCGAGATTATGGATCACGGGCCTCCGATAAACTGGGAAGACATCGCCGGGTTGGAGTTCGCTAAAACAACTATCAAAGAAATCGTGGTTTGGCCGATGTTGCGTCCGGATATCTTCACAGGTTTGCGAGGCCCCCCGAAAGGCATCCTACTCTTCGGTCCACCGGGAACTGGGAAGACTCTAATCGGAAAATGCATTGCTTGCCAGTCCGGAGCTACCTTCTTTAGCATTAGCGCCTCCTCGCTTACTTCCAAGTGGGTGGGAGAAGGCGAGAAAATGGTGCGTGCTCTTTTTGCGATCGCGAGATGCCACCAACCTGCGGTAATTTTCATCGACGAGATTGACTCCCTGTTGTCGCAGAGATCGGACAGCGAGCACGAGTCGTCGCGGAGAATCAAGACAGAATTTTTGGTTCAACTTGACGGAGCGACGACGGCCGCCGAAGATCGGATTTTGGTTGTGGGCGCTACCAACCGCCCGCAAGAGATCGACGAAGCAGCGAGAAGGCGTCTTGCCAAGAGATTGTACATCCCCTTACCGGAAGGAGGAGCAAGACGGCAAATTGTGACCAATCTGATGTCTAGAGAAAGAAACAGCTTGAAGGAGAGTGACTTGGAAAGCATTGTAGGCGCGACAGAAGGGTTCTCGGGAGCGGACATGACGCAGCTGTGCAGAGAGGCGGCGTTGGGACCGATCCGTAGCATCCAGTTCGCGGATATCGCCACAATCTCGGCGGATCAGGTGCGTCCGATCACCTCCGTGGACTTCCAGGAGGCGCTGAAGACGGTGAGGCCCAGCGTGTCGAACAAAGACCTGGAGCTGTACGAAGACTGGAACAAGACTTTCGGATGTGGGAGATGAAGGAGAGACTGTGGAGACATGTTACAAGAGTTATTTTGTTCTAATACTGTTCACTTCAAGTTTAATTCAATTTGTTCTTGTTCAGCCCCAAATCATAAAGGCAGTCGTGTTGGAGGATTTTACAAAGTTTTTGATTCGCCAACAAAAGATGATCTAACAGTTCCAACACAGTAAATGCAATTATAACAAACTCAGAAGCCACTGATCCAAACGGAGCGGAATAACCAACCCATGTTCTAAGCCACCGGTAGCTTGTCTCCCTTTTCAAAGTAGCTCCTATTTACAAAAAAATTCTATTTGATCTAATGAATTATGATAGAGTTTTGAATGTAACGCTACACAACAACAAAAGTCCACATTTTGCTAAACTGAACAGAGAATGTTCTGACGGTCTTAAGACAAGATTGTCCAATGATTGATACATTTTCTAAATCTGTGCTGGAAATAAGACTTAAGCTGGTCGCTTGACTGTTTTCAGGAATGTTTTAAAATCAACATAAAATGTACGTGATCCACTGCAGCCCAACATGAATTGGGCTACAGTTGGGTTGAATTTTTAAAGGTAGTCAGTGTTTCCCACAGGTTTGAAGGCAATGTGTGGTGGTCGGCGGGGGGGGGGGGGGGAGTGGGGTACAGTGGTACAGTGGTAGAGGACAATCTTGAGGTCATGAATCCAGTGAAATTAGTCGCACACCTTTTTACAGTAATAAGTTACAGCAGATCAAAAGTGACATGTTTTGACAATTTTTAGGCTATTTTGGACCAAAATGGCTACTTTAAATCAATATTTCTACAGTAAAAGTTTCTGGTCTTTGGTACAGTGGTAGAGGGCAATCATGAGGTCGTGAATCCAGTGAAATTAGTCGCACACCTTTTTACAGTAATAAGTTACAGCAGATCAAAAGTGACATGTTTTGACAATTTTTAGGCTATTTTGGACCAAAATGGCTACTTTAAATCAATATTTCTACAGTAAAAGTTTCTGGTCTTTGGTACAGTGGCAGAGGGCAATAATAAGGTCATGAGTCAAGTGAAATTAGTCGCACACCTTATTCCAGTAAATAGTTACAATACTTGAAAATTGCACTAGCGGACCAAATTGTGTACTTTATACATGTAAACAATAGAGTGGCTATCCTCCTGAGGACTCACAATCTGCCGGAGGAATCGTAGGGGGCTGGTGCTATGTGTGCCGGGTGGCATCTCTATAAGGTTTTAATCACAAAAACGTGTCTCCCTGACCCCAGCGCGCTTTCTGTTCGATAAAAATGGGTGACTCCGAAAGGACGTTCCGCTGTTACCGTAAGTTCTCAACAAAACGCGCACCGTCTTTTCCCCGATGCGGGCCGCATGTTCATAGAGCTGAAAGATGCGGGCCACTTTACCGCGGTAAATTAATAGACACAGCTGCTTACAGCGATGATCGCTGATGGAGACGGAGACACGCGGTGTGCACGAAGGGGAGGGGCTGTGTGTGTGTAGGTCTCTGTATGTGGGAGAGACGCGTAGCTTGAGTGAGAGTTACGAAGGGCCGCCACATTTTAAACCCCCCTTCCCGCTGTCAAATTGACCGCTGCGGCGGCACTAGACGATGCATGTTTTAAATAGCGTAACAAAAAAAATATATATATAATAATACGAAACGCAATTTGTGGCGGGCGGTCTCTAATCTGTGGCGGTGCGCCACAGATTAGTCTATGTGTGGGAAACACTGGTAGTAGCTCTCTAACACTTTTAACACAAAAAAAAGCATCTCTCCAGGGAAAAGTTTGTATTCGACCATTTTCTGTGTTGGAACAGTTTGATTCTCTGATCTGTTGTTGGTTAATCCACAACTTTGTAAAGTCTTCTATGGCGGCCGCTGTGTTTTAGGGCAATACACAAATACATTAAAGTGAAAAGAAATAACAGAAGTTGGGTACTTTTGCTTTATGGCAATCTAGAATTTTCCAGATTATTTGTATATTTACTCTTTCATATATTTTTCCAGTTATCTGAGGACCATTTGTGATAAAAACAGTTCAAGTATTTTTAACATGAGTTTTTTTACTACTGTTTTTTTCTTTCACAGAAATGAGAAATACAATTCTTGTTTATAGACTTTAGTTTCTACTTTCCATTTTGGGTCTGTGTATTTTTGCAACACATTCAGGGAAACTTGCTTCAGTGAATGTGTCCATAATTTCCCTATAAAGATTGTCACACGCTTTTCCGTCTTGCACCACGGCCTTGTTCCCCTTTTCTCCCAGCGGCTCCTGAACGCAGCGTGAACCAGGAGAGAGTTTGTCAACTTCCTCTAACGTTAGCACAGAGTGGACACACAGGGACATTTCTCCATCCAGCTTCGGCAACACAACTCCAGACCAAACACACATCCACGAGAACATGGAGAGACCTGTACACAACCAGCTATTCTTAAATATATTCATTTATACAAGATGCTGCGTGAGAGAGAAGCAGTTGTACAAAGCATTAAAATCATCCTCCTGGTCCGCTGCAGACACCAGGTGAAGGATACATCTGCCTCCTCTCACATCAGCTTTGAGGGACCGGAGAGAGACTGGACAGAGACCAGAGAGAGACAGGACAGAGACCAGAGAGAGACAGACAGAGACCAGAGAGAGACTGGACAGAGACCAGAGAGAGACAGACAGAGACCAGAGAGAGACAGACAGAGACCAGAGAGAGACAGACAGAGACCAGAGAGAGACTGGACAGAGACCAGAGAGAGACAGACAGAGACCAGAGAGAGACAGACAGAGACCAGAGAGAGACAGACAGAGACCAGAGAGAGACTGGACAGAGACCAGAGAGAGACAGACAGAGACCAGAGAGAGACAGACAGAGACCAGAGAGAGACAGACAGAGACCAGAGAGAGACTGGACAGAGACCAGAGAGAGACTGGACAGAGAGAGACAGACAGAGACCAGAGAGAGACTGGACAGAGACCAGAGAGAGACTGGACAGAGACCAGAGAGAGACTGGACAGAGACCAGAGAGAGACTGGACAGAGACCAGAGAGAGACAGACTGAGACCAGAGAGAGACGGACTGAGACCAGAGAGAGACAGACGGAGACCAGAGAGAGACAGACGGAGACCAGAGAGAGACAGACGGAGACCAGAGAGAGACGGACGGAGACCAGAGAGAGACAGACTGAGACCAGAGAGAGACAGACGGAGACCAGAGAGAGACAGACAGAGACCAGAGAGAGACAGACAGAGACCAGAGAGACAGACAGAGACCAGAGAGAGACTGGACAGAGACCAGAGAGAGACAGACGGAGACCAGAGAGAGACAGACAGACCAGAGAGAGACAGAGAGAGACTGGACAGAGACCAGAGAGAGACTGGACAGAGACCAGAGAGAGACAGACAAAGACCAGAGAAAGACTGGACAGAGACCAGAGAGAGACTGGACAGAGACCAGAGAGAGACTGGACAGAGACCAGAGAGAGACTGGACAGAGACCAGAGAGAGACTGGACAGAGACCAGAGAGAGACAGACAGAGACCAGAGAGAGACAGACAGAGACCAGAGAGAGACTGGACAGAGACCAGAGAGAGACAGACAGAGACCAGAGAGAGACAGACAGAGACCAGAGAGAGACAGACAGAGACCAGAGAGAGACTGGACAGAGACCAGAGAGAGACAGACAGAGACCAGAGAGAGACTGGACAGAGACCAGAGAGAGACTGGACAGAGACCAGAGAGAGACTGGACAGAGACCAGAGAGAGACTGGACAGAGACCAGAGAGAGACTGGACAGAGACCAGAGAGAGACAGACAGAGACCAGAGAGAGACTGGACAGAGACCAGAGAGAGACAGACGGAGACCAGAGAGAGACAGACGGAGACCAGAGAGAGACAGACAGAGACCAGAGAGAGACAGACAGAGACCAGAGAGAGACAGACAGAGACCAGAGAGACAGACAGAGACCAGAGAGAGACTGGACAGAGACCAGAGAGAGACAGACGGAGACCAGAGAGAGACAGAGAGAGACTGGACAGAGACCAGAGAGAGACTGGACAGAGACCAGAGAGAGACAGACAAAGACCAGAGAAAGACTGGACAGAGACCAGAGAGAGACTGGACAGAGACCAGAGAGAGACTGGACAGAGACCAGAGAGAGACTGGACAGAGACCAGAGAGAGACTGGACAGAGACCAGAGAGAGACTGGACAGAGACCAGAGAGAGACTGGACAGAGACCAGCGAGAGAGAACAGGGAAAGACTAGGGAGAGACCAGAGACAACAGGGAAAGACCAGAGAGTGAGACCAGGGAGAGACTACAACGAGACCAAAGAGACTAGACTGTCTTTTGCCATGACCTAAGAAACCTATTTCCAAATGCATACATCTTTATCAGATCGTTAAGACAATATTTTGAGATTTGTTAGCACGGCCTCTAATGCTCATTTTCAGTACTTTTATTTTTGTCGATTGATTTATTTCCATATTTGTGAGGATTCCTCTGAGCGCTGGTTTGACCCACGCTTTGCTGAACATTGGCCTGAGCTCGAGGAGAGAAAAAATCATCATTCAAATTTAATGAAACATTCTGAAAATCTGGAACTGGACTCTGCAAAAAAAACACATTTATTTTTCATCCGTTTGTCCAGCGACATTAATATTTCAGACCTTTGGGGCTCGCTGGTCGCTGCCAAACCAGGCTCAGAGGCAAACACTGGAAGCATGTGACAAAGTACAGAAGTCAAAGTATTAGAAAACATGTTAGATTTGTAAGAAAACGCCCAAAGATTCTGTACAATTCCATGCATTCGTAACCAGCCTTAAATCACAACAGCACTGGTTTAGGGTTTAGGAGCCATTGGTCCACTGTCTATAAATGATAATAAATGGCTATGATTATGATTTTTGATGTTTAATTTACTCTCTTAGGTTGAATCTAAATTCTTAAAAACATGTCCTTATCCTTTTTATTTACTTTAGTGACATCAATATTGTACTGACTTGTGGGATGGACCCCCTCCCTGCCG